GTACATAGATCTTTACTAGAAACTTATTTCCGTAGACCAAAATTTTTACCTATCTCCCCCCTCTAGAAGTTATACCACCCCAAAACCCTAAAAACGGCCTTTTTTAAATATTTGTTGCAATGAAACCATAAGCATTTTTGAAATTTTGCAAACGCAGAAAGACATCGGCTTGCTTCCCCTAGTGCGGTGTACTATAGTTAGGCTTTAGAAAAACAAAATGGCCGTTCAAATTTACCGTTATCTAAAGTTCTTTTTTTTCCAAATTTTTGATGTCGTTTTTCTTCTAGACCCCAGCATGTAGAAGCTTTAGGGACTTTTAGACATTAACAAACAGTTCATTTCGCTAGAAGAAAATTTTTTTCCATCTCCACAACCTCTCAAGTTATCGCTTCTTGAAATTTGTAAAATTTGAATTTTTGACACCTTATATTTCCGAAACCGCAAGCTTTTTCAAATTTCTATAAACGCAAAAAGCTAACGGTAAATTCCACGACATTAAAAAATATAATTATTTTTCTCACACAATTAAACCTTAAAATCGAGCATTATGTTAAGCCCTCTTTATATTAATTTTTTCTTTATTTCAAAGACTGCATATATGCATCATCCTAAATATATGCAATCCTTGAAAGAGTTTTGAATGTTATATGAATGAAAATAATTTAATAGTATGATAGTTATACATGGATTGTATTTAAAAGCATAATTTTCACTTGTTAAAGGGAAAAGTGCTACAATACAAACCATTGGTTTGACCCAACTTTACTAATTTTCAGTTTCTGAAAAATTTGATTTCCGTGTACGTAGCGACATCTAATCAAAAATGTTTCAATTCAGTATCTCTTCCTTATTTCAGCTAAAATGAAATGTGAAATCAAAAATTTTTCTGAGCAACATATCAAAAATTCAAATTTTAACTCAAAATTTTAGCTACATTTTTAATTAAATATATTCTCAACGTATCGAAGAGAATTCAAGGTAAAAAAAGAAAATAAACTTAATGTCTTACATCTAACAAACTCCAATGCAAAGAGAGAAACTTGAAAGCACGACCTTTTTACCGACCGTATTGTGTATACAATATGTATTTATAATAATTATAATAATAATAATAATGATAATAACAATAATAAAAATATTGATGATAAAATTAGTAATGATAACATCAATAATAACAATAATAAAAATAATAACAATATTGGTTACAGTTAATAATATTGGTACACATTGGCAACAGTAACAAAAATGGCGAATACCCTAACTTTGTTCGGGGTGCTACTGTTACAGGCACAATTACTGTTAATTCATTTACTTAATCCTCCTCTCAAGGGCATTTCAACCTACTTTTGACAAAAAAGTCCTGTGAAATTGGCGATACTGTTTATGTGCTATCACGCTTTAGGAATCACATAGTTTATGATAATGTAAAACTTTTATTGCCTATTTGCACAGTGCTGCTGGCCATATCCACCACGATGGCAAGACTTAACCTAAAAGTTTTTATAGAGGGTGAGGGTCTTCCTATTGATTACTCACAGCTAATGGATATTTTTGAATGATATCATAAGACAATGAATATATTGTCCAAGGAGCTTGATAAGAATCTTGAGACTTTTCGTGACCACATCAGGACTAAGTGGGTTGACTACCTACAGCGGATGAGGGAATTCCATTACAGGTTTTTTTGACCCTCAATTCCCTCAAAATCCTGCTCAAAACGTTTGTAAACATGTAAAATTTTTTTGGAGTAATCTGATTTCGGTTCACCCACCGCATCTTGGTAGCATTCCAATAACTTTGGATAATATTTCAATTTATAATCAAAATGTTCGACGCCTTAGGACTAAAACTGGGGCTGTGTTGCTGAATTCTTCCATAATGGAGTACAACGTTTTTGCTCTGACGGGAACATGATTAACTACTTCTGTTAATAGGTTAGAGCTATTTTTTCCAGCTTTTCCAATATTTAGAAGGGACCGTTATGATCCCTGAACATTAGCTCATGGAACAATGAGATAAAAACTCATTGTTCGCTAGTATTTTCAATATTTCCGGCTTCGACAATTTGGAGGTGATTGCGGTTGAAATTGAATTAACTGAAATATAATTTTTACAAATAATAAAAATAAATTTTGAAAAGACGACAATAGTAAAAAAAAATTTAAATAGTTGTGAAAAAAATATTTTTTTTATAAAAATGAGTAAACATTTTTTGAAGTGTTTGGGATGGAAAAAAGCCGACACGAAAATTTCATTTGTTGCCAAAAGATCTGAAGGGGTTAATATGTACTTTTGAAAATATTTGAAATATTTAATGTTAGGCATTTGTAATTAACAAATAAAATAAATAAAATATCTTTAAATTTTTAATTTTTATTTCAATCTTAATAAATTTAGAACATATTTGCCATGAATAATATATTTCCCGGTAATTATTACCTTTTTTTCTTTATAAATTACTTTATTTCTATGTCACTACCTGATACTGTGTATCTACTGTACCAGGTACATTCATACATGAAATTTCAAACTCTTTTGCTTTCATACAATCGAATTTTTTACCTAAGTTTTATAAAGTGAAAAATAAATTTTGTTATTATCAAAATAAAAATAACAAAATTTTTACCTAACTTAATTTAATTTTATTTTAGTTCAATGTTTTTGATACACTCGTTTGTTTACAATATTTTGTTTCTTTCTTGCCTACACAACTCTTATTACCATCTATTTCTACAAAAAAATGGAATATTTTAAGAATTTGGAAGCAAGATGCAAACGAAAACTAACGGAATGGAACGAGTCGAATTACTTATTAGTAGATATACTTTAGCAAGATTGAAAGACTTATAGAGAACTTACTTCAATATCTGCCATTTTGAAATTTAAAATTTTTTTTGAATTTTATATTTAAGCAAAAAAATTTAAGCTCAAGGTCTGCGCTACATTTCTGACATTTCTTTATTACCGATTGATTTTCCAAATGCACTTTATTACAACCAGTAATTTCCGAACGACTTATATTTTCAGTGTATGTACTACAGTGCACAGTCTAGCCATGGACAATATCGTTCATTTCAGTAATTCGTTCTGAACGAACTACTTTTTTCACTGACCGATTATAAAATCTCGTTCGATCGTTCATTTCGTTCACTTCCCTTCTGTATATATAATTGATTGTTTTTTCGTTATACTTATATGACTATTCGTATTTATGTGATATGTGATGGGTTTTGTAAATTAGTAATAAGTTTTGAACCACAAAATGTCTCTACTTATATAAATTAAAAAGTTTAAAACGTAGAGAAAACTTTAAAACTTTTACTTAAAAAACTGTTAAATTATAAGTAAATTTTTATATATGAAAAAAAGTTTAAACCTCCCAAAAATTTTCGTAGCAGTACCAAACTTTGAATTTGTTATTCCTCACAAGAAATTTAGAATATAAATATTTGTAATTATCTTTATTTTTAATACTCGAAAGAAATTTAAATCATATCCTAATTTTTTTAAACTTTTGCTTAATTTATTTTAATATGCTTCTTTAATCCCTAATGGGTTATATATATGATGGGTTACTTATAATTATTATTTTTTTTTAGTTTTTTCTTTTATTTAAAATATGTGGTAAAAAAGCGAGCATAATTATTATCCTTTTTTAAATATTTTGGTCACTTTTATTTGTATTACATTTATTTTTTCACGTGTGACGTGCATCGCTCTATTTTATTTGGATTTGTATTGCATTTTATTTATGTATATTTGATCAGTTCTGATTCGTTTTTATTTGTATTGCTTACAGCCATAGGTTATTTAGTATATTGTTCAATTTTACTTGTATTGGGTTTCTTTTGTAAAGAAATATTATGAGACATGAAGTTCTGGTTTTGATATACAATGCTTTTGTATTGTATATTACATATTTTGGTTAGGCAGCTGATTCGTTCACTGTTATTTGAAATAAGAAAGAAATAAGGAAAAATATAAAATGTATAAAAATTGTCAATGTATATGCAGTAACTTTTTTTAATAACTAAAAAGAGAATTGGTATTCTTAGTGAATGATGAACGATTCATTTTTGAAGAAGTGAACTAAGTTCAGTAAAGTGATTCGTTTTTTAACATTAGTTCGTTCGCGGACGCTTCTATTACTACAGTCGTTAATAGTACAGTCGCTTCCATTTGAAAGACAAGAAAGGTTGCCTGGATTAAAAATTGCAATATACATATTTTAAAATCATTTTCCAGATAGAATTTATCAACCAATTATTTTGAAATATAAATTTTAAATCAAAAACAAATATGTAAAATCAGTAGATATAAAAATGTTAAAGAATTTTCTTCTCATAAATAATTTCCGACACCCTTCTCATTTAAACTACAATGTATATAAATTTGGAATTTATTTTGAGTTACTAAGAGCTAAGAAAGCTTGGTGGCTAACAAGTATACAGGGCGCTTCGCATACGGCAGCAAATAATTACAGTGAATATTTGATCATTTTCCAGGAAAAAAATGTATATCTTTTTGAGGGGGGTGACTGTTGGAAAAAAGAGTACCGGACTTGCATACAAACAAATGCTTAGAACAACAGAGTTATAATTACGAGCTTCTTTTATAGGCGATTGATTGTTCTTTAATTTTGGTCTTACAATGAATTTGATTTGAGCCATCGTTTTGGATATAGTTAGTCAAAACCAGGATTGTTTTTTTTAATCGGATCGAAGAAAACAACAAAAAAAACTTTCGAGAAATTTCGAGTTTTGTAAAAATCAAACAAAAACAAATAAACCAAAAACCCTAAAAATTTGGCGAGTTCAATCTCGAAAACTATGTTCAAATCAAAACTCCCCATACAATTTTTTGTTCAAAAATGATCGTTCTTTTCCGATCGTGTTCTTTTTTACCGATGAATATTGCCGTTGTGTGCACAATCTGTTAAATCAGGTAATTACGTGGCTTGGGGAGTAAATACATTTGCATATACTTTGAAATTTTTTTCTTTTGCCAAAACGCTCAGATATTTCGAAAACATGACACACAATATTTTATGGTAGCAGCCCTGGTACTTAATTGCATATGCATAGGTTTGATAGAAAATCGAATTGAGTAAAGAAATTAAATTCTAATCTGTAATAAGAAATAATTTATTTTAATTAGTTTATAAGTCAGCTTACTAATTAAATGCATTGTTCATTAACTGCAGTTTAGTGTTATGAGAGATTGTTAAAAAAAGTGTTTATTAAATAGTTATGGTCGATTCTTATCGAAAAGAAATGTGTAGTGGTGGACGTACTCGAAAAGTTAAATGCGAAACAATAAAGGAAAAATTAGGACTTTATTTCAGACACCGAAATTACAGTGTAAGTAAATTTCCAAATTTTCTTCAAATACGAAACTCAAAAACTTTAATAGTCGTATACATATATTTCATAATGCTTTAAAAATTTGATTTTGAAAAAAACTATATTTTTTAGTGCTTTGAAAAAATTCTTAAGACGGATTGTACCTTTTCACAAACTCGGAAACAGTTTGTGTTCAATCAAATTTTGGAGAATGACTTCTCTAGAAAAAATTCGTTTTCATATTCAAACGCTATTTATTTTACTAACAATTTTTCGGGAGTGGATGTGCAATTTGGAAAGTATGGCAGCATATTTGATTAAAAACATGCAATAAAATTACTTTTAGGTTTGTAGACTTCGTAGAATCTCAAGAAAATAAATACAAATCAGAATTACGAAACTTGTATGGCCCATTAATATGCCACTTATATATTGAACTAATAAAATGCAAAGAGGGAAAAGTCGCAGTTGAATTTTTGAAGAAATATGTTTCTTTAATTTCTCATGTGGAAAGATATGATGCACCTTTGCCAAATAAAGTTAATGGTTGCTCAGTATCTGGAAATATGGATGAGGATCACTTGCTTCCGTCAGCTTCGAGCAGAATTGTATTTTCTAAAGAAAGCACAGAAAATCCATTAAAAGAACATTTTAAGTTCTTAGTACAATCATTGTCTACTTGCTTGAGAATCGAAAATGTGGAATCAAATGAAGCATTACTTTTATTTCGTAGTTCGAAATATGAGTTGGATATGAGCATAAGAAGCTTGGTACTGCTACGAAAGTTTTTAGAAAGTCAAGGACATGTAATTATAGTAAATATTTTGCAATCTTGGGTTAATATTGAAGTTCCCGAATTAAAAGAACAAGAAAAAGAGGAGGGTGAAATGTTAAGAATATCTCCAATACTGGGAGAGTGTTGTACGAGTTTAAGTGAAAAAAAAATAAATTCAGAAAAATATATTCCTAAGGATAGAAAGAATGACAATTTAAACGATAAAGTGAATAAAAAATTGTTAAATAATTATGTAAGGCGAATAAAACATGCAACAACAAAACTACAAAATATTGATCAACCAACTAGAAATTTCATAATAGTCGATAAAGAAAACAGTTTAATTTGTTCATCAATTGAAGCCAATGAATGTCATATTGCTGGTGGTTTTGGTAACTCAGTTGTAAAGCTTTGGCATATTAACCAAGATGTAGTCCTAGGGAAAAATTTATATTCAAAAACTTTAATTAACTGTCCTTGGAATTCACAAATAAAGGAAAATTTTGCTATATCAAAAATGTAAAATTACAATTAGTATTTTTGAAAATGTAATTATTTTTGATACCGTTGTTTAGGTCTAATGGTGGAATGTTACTCATGGGACACACTAATGGTGTTACTGATATACACTTTTCCAAAGATAATTCTGCAATTTTGACGTCTTCGAAAGACAAGAGCATGCGATTTTGGAAAATATATGGTGACGAATCAATAACGGAAAAATTTATTGGTCACAATCATCCTATTTGGTGTCTTAGTGAAAGTCCTATAACCTCGTATGTTGCTACTGGATCTAAGGATTTAACTGCAAAATTATGGTCATTGCATCGAAAATATCCATTAATAACATATGTTGGACACGCAGAAGACGTAGAAGTAAATATTTGCAGATCTAATATATGTATAAGGAAAAAATAAATTTTATTAATTTTAGAGTATCGCTTTTCATCCAAATGGCAATTATGTTGCAACCGGTTCTAGTGATCAATCTGTACGGCTATGGTCTGTTGCAACCGGGCGGTTAATTCGAGTTTTTACTGAACTAAAGTTTGCTGTTTCTAAAGTATCGTTTAGCCCAGATGGAAAATTTTTAGCTGCCGCCGGAGAAGCAAAAGTGATTCATATTTTTGATTTAGCAGCTGGCTCTACATTTTTGGAATTTAAAGAGCATTTGTCCGAGATAATTGATATTTGCTGGAGCAATGATGGAAAGATATTCGCTACCGCTTATGCAGATGGATCCATTCGTTTGTGCGACATTACTAAATCAGATTCTAATAAGTTATATGTCTTTATCTTAAGTGTCGCATAAAATTATATAAACTATTTCAGATTAACCGGTAACAAACTTATATGGGGGTTGAACAGTGGAAATAAACCTATTAAATTATCTTTCAATTTGTTAAATATGGTCACACTAATAGCTGTGAAAAAGGAAACATGAAATTTAGTTGATGGCATTACCAATAATTTATCTGAATAAATAATATAACCTAATTGATATGTGTATGTACAAAAGAAAAATGTGTTCACTTATTTACAACTGTTTATCAATTTTACTCAATCACCATTGACTTTAATTGACAAAACTATGATTAAATAGGAAACAAATTTGTACGCCATCAGATTAATATTAATACCGGGGTTTTCGTTTATTCAGTTCTAGAATAATTCTAGCTTGTACATTCGAAAATTCATGCTATATTTACTATACTGAAGAAATGGAATTTAAAAAACTTTTAAATAAGAAATGGAATTCAAAAAGAAATTGAAAAAAAGGAAAAAACTTTATAATTTAAATCGAATCGAATATTTTAATCGAAATACTTCGAAAACATATAATATTACAAAATATTTTTGTAATTTTTTCCTACTGCAAAATTTCGGAAAATAATTTCAACTTGTAGCCCCGATTAATATGTATATATAAATACTCGAAAACATATAACATTATGAATTATTTTTGTAATTTTTTCCTACTGCAAAATTTCGGAAAATAATTTCAACTTGTAGCCCCGATTAATATATGTATGTATATAACATTAATATAAGTTACGGCCTTACGGCTGTATATTTTATGAATGGTTTAAATGAAGTCAACGATGATTCTTTAATCAATTTCCGAAAAACATTCAAAAAAGGTGAAGGGTGATTTGCTTCTACATTTCATACAAAAATAAAATACGCTAAATATTTTTAGCATAAGCTATACAGTTTTCGCATACTTAAACCCTTTTTGCACGTTTTACAGCCAAAAATATGAGATAGACGATGTTAGTCTTGTGTCGTTTGTGAACGAACAAATCTTAAAGGACGAATCACTTCACTGAAATTAGCTGATTGGTTCACTTCTTCAAAAATGAATCGTTCATCGTTCACTGAGAATTCCAATTTTCTTTTTTAGTTATTAAAAAATATGACTGTATCACAGACATCTTTATTCTCAAGATTTCGTAATATTCAAAGTTGGTCATCATACTTTTTGTTAAGAAATATAGGTATTATTATATTAGGTATTTTCGAATAAATTAGAAATGGTGATTTTGGATGTTTGAAAAATAAAAACCGATTAAATTTAAAAAATATGCAGAAATTATTTGATTTTGTTTAAATATTAACAATATTAAATTTCTTATTCTTACAAACTAGTTACTTATTACTGGTAATAAATTACATTATAATAAATTACAGGTAACAAAATATTTTTTAGTTGAAACCAAAATAATCAATACATAACAAAATACATAACAAAAGTTTTTGAAATAATTGCGTGACATATTTACATAAAAAAATAAAATTTTAATTTATTTTTCTTAAAACTAGTAAGATTTGATGAGAAAAGCAATTCATTTTATGACATAAATGTACCTACATATATATTCAACTAAATTCACAAAATTTTTTAATTTTCTTTTATAAGAGATTAAATTACATACTTATTTAAATTGTTAAAATCTTAACATTAGCAGGTACTTGATTAAATTATATTTGCCACAGACAACAAAATAAAATTTAAAGTTCTTACATATTAAAAAAAGTTCGGTGATGTAGAATTCCTTTTTCCTAATGCTTGTATCCATTTGTCCCTGATGACTTCGTTCTTTGGCAAAGTAAATGCAGGTATAGCATTTACGTTCTCCTTTTCTCGTAGACTATTGCTTCCGCATTCTTCGACGCAACACTTTCGGGGCATTTCTATTTACATGAACGTAATCAAATATACTATTATATTTTATTTAAATATGATTACAAATAAAACTTTAAAAAGTACAAAATAAATCTTACTAATTTTTTTTTTTAATTTATTAGTATTACATAATTAGTATTAATATTACAATTCCATATTACATAAATATAAAATTTCTTTGGAGAATATTTTAAGCCAGTTAAAGAAAAATAGTTAATATTAAAGTTAAAAAACAGTAAAAAATTTAACATAAAAGAAAAAAAAAATATTTAAAAATGAAAAAATTTAAAAATGAAAATTTTAAACATGAAAATTTTAAAATGAAAAATTTAAGAATGAACTTCATTAAAATTCATTATGTATTAAATTTTTTATCAGTATGTTTTTAAATGTTAATATTGCTTTCAGTTCGAATTACATTTGGTAACGAGTTGAATAGCTGCTAAAATAAGCTATTCGGGGTATTATGTCTTCTAAAAAGTGGTAGCCTGAATAGACTTGCAGATCTCAGTGTATATGGTGTTGATTCGTCTAGATATTTTATTATTCTACTTAGGTACTCTGGCAACATGTTGTGTTTTACTTTAAATTTGAATAATAATGTATTGTATTGAAGTCTTTGTCTTAACGACATCCATTTCAACTGACCAAGCATGAATCTAATATTTGTTCTTCTACCACATTTTAAAATAATTCGCATTGCTTTGTTTTGCAAAATTTGCAATCTATCTTTTTTTGTTTCACTACATAAGAATAATAATGATGCACAATAATCTAGATATGGCAATATCATAGTATTGTATACCGTTAATGTACATTTCAATATAATTTTATTTCTGATGCGGCCTAAGTATCCTATTTTTTGCGATATTTTATTGCTGATGTAATTTGCACGCATATCTAGATTAAGTTTATTATCTATTTGAACTCCCAAATATTTTATTACAGGAACTTGTTCAATGGTTCTATTATCTATACGCATATCAATCGTATCATTAGTTCGGTTGTTTAATACTATACATTTAGTTTTTTCTAAATTTAACTTAAGTTTATTCATGCAAAGCCAATTACATAAATTCCATAGGTCTTCGTTGATTTTACTGCAACACTCCTGCGCGCTTCGAGCAGCTATATAAATAACATTATTTTACAAAATTTGATGCAAGATTTTATATCATTGATGTACAATAAAAAATTTAGAACACCCTATTTTGGGTTCCTTGTTCCTTGTGGAACTCCAATATTGATAATCTCACTTCTAGAAGAAAATCCATCTACATTTGTTTTTTGTGTTCTACATTGGAAAAAACTGTTAAACCATTCAAACTCATTTATTAAATGATTTTTCTTTTTAAATAAATTTTAGTACCATTTTTTCAAAATCCACCTTTGTTTCATACAAAATATGACAAACAAAAGAAAAAATTTATTTATATGTATTATAAATCTTCATTTTATTTAATAACACGAAAAATTAATATAATTATTCACTAAATTTAAATTAAAATTTAATTAAATTTAAAAAGAAAATAAATTATTTTACCGCACAGCGACGCACCCTTCCGGTACGAAATTTAGATATGGACTAAAGCAGGCATGGGGAACCTGCGGCCTTAAGGCCGCATGCGGCCTTTTAACTGTTTTTTAGTGGCCTTTGTCCTTAAAAAAATTTATTTCTTATATTTCTTAAAAGTTAAAATTTTGCTGCCAAACGAGGCTGGAACCAAATATAAAATTGTTGTCGAGCAACAAACAATCACAGAAAAGTCATTGAAATAATGAACCATATTATTTTATTAATAATGTACATACTTACTTATTTATTTTTATTTATGAAATAAACTGTTTTATGTTATTTTTTATATTCTGACATAATTTTGTTTTCATCAACCTACACAAAGCAAAAATTTATAACCTTTGGACTTTTTTTAAACTTTGCGGCCTGATTGACTTTGCATTGACTAAAATTTGGCCTTATATAGAGAAAAGGTTCCCCATCCCTGGACTAAAGAATATCATAGTCTCATTTTTTTATACCCTGCACTTCGTGAAGGGTATATTAACTTTGGTATGGAGTTTGTAACTACTTGAAGGAGTCATCTGCGGTATGGACATATATATATATTCTTGCTCAGCGTAAAATTCTGAGTCGATTTTGACATGTCCGTCCGTCCGTCCGTCCGTCCGTCCGTCCGTCCGTCCGTCCGTCCGTCCGTCCGTCCGTCCGTCCGTCCGTCCGTCCGATCGCACGATAACTCAAAAACGAATAATGCTATCGACACCAAACTTTCACAAGTTTTTTCTTTTGTGCCAAGGAGTTTATTTTAAATATTTCGAAAACTAATAAAGCTATAAATATAAAATTTTGTATACATGTGTCCAATTATATTCTACACATGCTCTAAAAATTATAATGGGATAGCTGCACCGGTTCGGGTGGCTGCCATACAACTCCAACAGCAAATTTTTTATATTCGTCAAAATAATAAAGTCAGATTCATGAAACTTGGCAGTCATGTGTCCAATTATAGGTCAAATATATTTCTGAAGTTTTAGAAGAATTGCTTGACAGGTTCGGGTACCTGCCATACAACTCCAGAAGCTAATTTTAAATATTTGGCAAAATAATAAAGTCAGATTCATGAAACTTGGCAGTTGCGTGTCCGATTGTAGATCAGATATATTTGTGAAGTTTTAGTGGAACTGCTTGACAGGTTCGGGTACTTGCCATACAACTCCAAAAGCTTATTTTAAATATTTGGAAAAATAATAAAGTCAGATTCATGAAACTTGGCAGTTGTATGTCGAGTTATAGGTCAGATATATTTCTGAAGTTTTGGTGGGATTGCTTGGCAGGTTCGAGTAGCTCTCATACAAGTCTAAAAGTTTATTCTTAATATTTGGAAAAATAATAAAATCAGATTCATGAGACTTGGCAGTCGTGTGTCCAATTATAGGTCAGACATATTTCTAAAGTTTTAGTGGGATTGCTTGGCAGGTTCGTGTAGCTCCCATACAAGTCTAAAAGCTTATTCTTAATATTTGGAAAAATAATAAAGTCAGATTCATGAAACTTGGCAGTTGTGTGTCCGATTGTAGATCAGATATATTTGTGAGGTTTTAGTGGAATTGCTTGACAGGTTCGGGTACTTGCCATACAACTCCAAAAGCTTATTTTAAATATTTGGAAAAATAATAAAGCCAGATTCATGAAACTTGGCACTTGTATGTCGAGTTACAGGTCAGATATATTTCTGAAGTTTTGGTGGAATTGCTCGACAGGTTCGAGTAGATACCATACAAGCCTAAAAGCTTATTCTTAATATTTGGAAAAATAATAAAGTCAGATTCATGAAACTTGGCAGTCGGATGTCCAATTATAGGTCAGACATATCCGTGAAGTTTCTATAGAATGACTTCACGGGTTCGTGTAATTGCTACACAATAACGAAAGGTGCAGGGTA